TCGCATCGCACAGTAAGTACAGCTGCAGGTCCTCAATCCAGACTGCAAAGTCAATGGCGCGACCCTCAGCGTCAAAAGCCAGGACACTGGGGGTGGCCATTGTAGCAGCTGACAATCTCACCGGGCAGGAAGAGTCGGGAAGCACAGCGGCACAGCAACACGGCAGCACAGCAGCTGCGCCGGCCCAGGAGCAGCAGCAGCCCCACAGGAGCAGGAGCTCGGCACCTCAGGTTGCTCGGGCGGCTCGAGCGGCTGGGGCGGCGCGGGCGGCTCGGGCGGCTCGGGCGGCTCGGGCAGCTCGGGCGGGTCTACTGCACGGGCGGCTCGGGCGGCTCTGCTGCACGGGCGGCCCGTTCGGCTCGGGTGACGCGGGTGGCACGGGTGGCGCGGGCGTCGCGACGGGCGGCTCGCTGGCGGCTCGCAGGCGGCTGCACGGGCGGCTCACGGGCGGTTGCACGGGCGGTTCACGGGCGGCTGAGGGCGGCTGCACGGGCGGCTCACGGACGGCGGCCGGGGCGGTTGCGGGCGGCTCACGCTGAGCGGCTGCACGGGCGGCTGCACGGGCGGTTCGTCGGGCGGCGCACAGGCAGCTCACGGGCGGCTGCACGGGCGGCGCGGCGAGCTGCTGAGGGCGACGCACGGGCGGCGCACGGGCGGTGCGACGGGCGGCTCGCGGGCGTCGGGCGCTAGGGCGCTAGGGCGACGACGGGCGGCGCTCAGGCCCTAGGGCGGGCGGCCGTCAGGCTCTAGGGCGGGCCGCGCTCGAGCTCTAGGGCGGGCAGCGCGCGGGCGCTAGGGCGGACGGCGCTCAGGCTCTAGGGCGGGCGGCCGTCAGGCTCTAGGGTGGGCCGCGCTCAGGCTCTAGGGCGGGCAGCGCGCGGGCGTTAGGGCGGGCGGCGCGCGGGCGTCTAGGGGCCGTTAGGGCAGATCGAAAAAAAAGGAAGTAAGAGGGCCCGGAGCGCGCTCCGGGCAGAAAAAAAAAGTTACGAGGTAGCGGAGGTGGGCCCTAAGAACAGTTCCCACAGGGGAACCTGCTCGATACCATGAGAAGAAGTGAACGAGGATGGAATGACTATGAACGAAGTGGGTACAAATAGGAAACCCTAATTGGGTTGTACCCCCTATGGGATACCCCACTATAGCCTACACAAATAAGTATGCTATATGTTCTGACACCTTTCTCCTTTTTTGCGTTTTCTTTTTTAGCCGACGCAGATGTAGCTTGTAGTGCAGTTTCCGCGGCTGTAACGCTGACAGGCTGCTGCTGTAGAAGGGACAGCAGCGCGTTGACCTGGTCCGGGGTCAACGCCTGCGTCAACGCAGGGGCGGTCGTCGCGTCAGACGAGGAGACCGCCGTCCGCCTCCTCTGGCGCTGACGCGACGGTCCAGCCGCGGGTGCTGGCGTGTGCTCGGCGTCAGTGGCGTGTGCCACGCCCGCGGCCGTCGCCACTTGCGCCGCAGGTGCCACTGGCGCCACAGGCACCTCAGGCGCCACTGGCGCCGAAGGGTGCTGCTGGGCGTTGGCCGAGTTGTTGACCTCGAGCCCGCCCAGCAGCACGTCCACTGCAGTCGGGGCGGGCGGTCCATCTTCTGCCCGTCGCTTGTTACGGCGTTCGCCCGCCAAATCGCGGGTGTTACGGTCGTTGTCGGAGGCGGGGTTGGACGAGTTCCCGTTGTTAAGTGTCGGCGTCGGTGCCATCGTTGAGCGATTGAAGTTAAAAATATCGTTGAGTAAGGTCGAAGGTGACTCGCCTCTAGGAAGCGATTTTGTTCTAGCCAGCTTGGACGGAGGGATAAACTACGTGAGCAGAAGTGTTGAGTGAGCCGTTTGAAAATCGAGAAACGTGGGTGGAGGGAAATGAACTCCAACCCACGGTTTTTGTAGTTGGAGAAGGGCGTTTAGCGCGCTTCGACGATGCCAATTGTGCAGTACAAGCAGCTTCGCTTTCACAATACACAATTTTAAAAAACACAATGTGTGTTTAAAAATTATAATTTTCTTACACCAAATTGTAGATCACGTTCTAGCAATTTGAATTGAGTCGAAACTATACATACAGAGCTGGAATTGAGAATCTCGCGCAAGTTGGCAGGAAATCATTCCCTGCCAGCACACACGTCAACTACGCCGCTGACAGCCCATTCTGACTGACGCGCAAGCAATGAGCCGAGCGAGGTGAAGGGTTTTTTTAGCAGTGTAATTTACTCTGTTTTTCTGAAAATCAGAGGTAATTTTTTTGAGAGTTACCTTTTCTCTGATCTGTCAGAGTACTTGTGTAAGGGACTCTGAAGGGCCAGGGTTTCTTTCTGGGATACCGAGTTTACTCTGTACAGGGGATACATGTAGCCCCGAACCCCCCCCATTCCCCCCATAATTACCGGTTTTTGACCGAGGCGCAGGGGATATCCATCTTGTTTCACCCGTGTGTTGGCACCACCTTGGAATCTGATTGACCGGAAAGGCATATTTTAGGCCAGCGCACGTAGGCAGCCACCTACTCTATACATCGCTGGCTTTTCGTACTCCATCAGCGCAGCGATGTACATTCCTCAACTTACGGGCATGATCCGGCAGCTTTCTGAGAGGCACCGTTTTCGTGCGCGGTGCGCACCAGTGCACCTGTGTCAAATGTTGTAGCCTGTAGTGAGGTTTGTCGTAGGGGTACAGATGTTAGGGTTTGTTATATGTACCCCAACCCACATCAATGAACCAATACTTTCATTCTTGACATGGTATCACCTAGGTTAGGATCCTGTGGGATCCCGTTCCTCTCGTTCACGTCCGTAGCGCCCGAGCCTGTCCCGTACCCTAGTGCCCGTTACGCTCGTACTGACCCCTAGCGCCTATCGCGCCTGCCGTTACGTCGCTCTCGTGCCCTCGCGCCCGCTGCGTCCGCCGTTACGTCGCTCTCGTGCCCTCGCGCCCGCTGCGCCTGCCGTTACGTCGCTCTCATGCCCGCTGCGCTGTCCGTCCGCGTCGCGCCGTCCGTCCCGTCCCGTCCGTCCGCGTCACGCTGCCCGTCCGCGTCGCGCCTTCAGTCCCGTCCCGTCCCGTCCGTGCGTCCCGTCCGTCCGTCCCGTCCCGTTCGTCCGTCCCGTTCGTCCGTCCCGTCCCGTTTCGTCCCGTCCGTCCGTCCCGTCGCGTCCCGTCCCGTCCGTCCCGTCCCGTCCGTCCCCGTCGAGTTGCCCGTCCATCCCGTCCCTTCGCGTCGCGTCGCGCTGCCCGTCCGCGTCGCGCAGTCCGTCCCGTCCCGTCGAGTCGCGTCGTGTCGCGCTGCCCATTCTGTCCCGCTGCGTCGCGTCGCGCTACCCCTGCCTGTGGCGCTGCGCCCTCCTAGTCCAGCAGTGTTGCGCCCTACTCTGTGTCCCGTAGCGCCCTACCCTATGTCCCGTAGCGCCCTACCCTATGTCCCGTAGCGCCCTACTGAGTTGCTCTCAGTGATTAGGGTTTCAGCAGCAGCACTTCCCACCTCTTTGCTTTTGCTATGGCGACCCCTAGGGTTCTTAATTTTGACGCTAACGGTAGACCGCTCGAGTTTCTGGTCTGGCTCCTACGCGTGCATCGCCTTCTAGAGAGTCAGGTCCAAGCGGGCGAGTCCCTCTAGGCGCACGCTACTGGTGACCTTCCTGCGCCCGACGACCCTACGCCTTTAGGCCCTGCCCCAGACAACGCCGCCAGAGACCGCTTTACCCGCCAGCGTGCTGACCTGACGGCGTGGAAGTCACGTGACGCTGCGGCCTGCATCGCTCTTAGCAGCCTCCTCCCTGAGTCTGAGGAGGCCCACTTCACTCATGTTCTATTCTAGCTAACGCGCTGCTTGCACTGACACACAGCTTGCACTACTTCCCCCTCCTATGGCGATTACTATCTACTTCATTGCCACTAGCCTCCCTGACCGCCTTGCCTCGGTTCGTGATACGCTTCTTCTGAAGCACCCTAGTGAGCTCACTATCGAGGTCCTTGAGTCTGCGCTCAAGGACGTCGAGAGCAACCTCCGCTCAGTAGCCTCCGCCTCAGGTGCTATGCCCCCTCCACTGTTTCATGGGTGCACTGTCCCCTAGCTGCCCACTTTTACTGCCTTGCTAGCCATTGCCACTACTGACGTGACCGCAGCTGCTGTTACGACTACGTCGCGGTCTCGAGGCAGGGGTGGCAGGAGGGGCGGTTAGGGTGCAGGCGGCGGCGGCGGTGGTGGCGTTGGCGGTGGAGGTGGTGGGGGTGGGGTGCCGATCGGTGGCGGCGGGAGCGCAGGGCCTGGAGAGGCTTCTCGTGCAGCGGCCAGTGACTCCCCTACTGCAGCTGGTGGAGGCGACACCCGGACTCGTCAGCCTCCTCCTGGTCTGCCGGCCGCAGTGGGTGGAGCAGCGGCGTGGTACCTGGCCCAGCGGTAGCAGCAGGTGCAGCAGCAGCAGCCCCTCCCCTTGCAGCAGCCTCCGCAGCAGCAGCGGCAGCAGCAGTTTTCGGGGCTGGGACAATGTCCGCCCCAGCGAGGTGTTGTTCACCCTTCGTGCACCTATCAGGTTCTGACAGGTGCTCGTCGAGGCTAGCCTTGTGGTTGCACCCACCCTCCTGGTCAGTGCTTTGCTCAGCTCACTGACACGGTTCGCTTGGCCTTCGGCGTTGGCGGCCCTGCCCCTGACTGGCTACCTCTTGTTCAGACGTACGGCTCCGCTCTTTGGGGCATGTCTGCTTCTCAGTTGCTTGATCTCTTAGGAACTCCTCATGCTATGTATGCTGTTGTGGATTCTAGTGCTTCTAACTCTGTTTACTCGTGTGTTGTTAGCTTAGGTGCTATTCTTGCTGAGTTGCTTGTTGCTAGTGTAGGCACTTGTGTATACACTAGACCAGGCGCTACTTTGGAGAACGCCTTGCTGTCTTTCACTCTGGACTCCGGGGCTTCGCACTTAATCCACTTGGGGTTCGCTTGGCCTTCGGCGTTGGCGGCCCTGCCCCTGACTGGTTACCTCTTGTTCAGACGTACGGCTTCGCTCTTTGGGGCATGTCTGCTTCTCAGTTGCTTGATCTCTTAGGAACTCCTCATGCTATGTATGCTGTTGTGGATTCTAGTGCTTCTAACTCTGTTTACTCGTGTGTTGTTAGCTTAGGTACTATTCTTGCTGAGTTGCTTGTTGCTAGTGTAGGCACTTGTGTAGACACTAGACCAGGCGCTACTCTGGAGAACGCCTTGCTGTCTTTCACTATGGACTCCGGGGCTTCGCACTTAATCCACTTCCTACGCCAGTCTCTGTGGCCCTGGCTGATCCCACCTCAGGACCAGTCACTACTCGCTACACCACTATTCTTCCTTGCCCTGCTGTTCCCTCTGAGTCTCTAACTGGCTTCCACGTCCCCTCGTTCTCGAGGAACTTGGTGGGCGTGAGGCCTCTTGTGAGTCAGCACGTGGGTGTGCGGATTGAGCCCTCTGGTGAGACGGCGGTTTGTGTTGACGACGACACTTACTCGCCTCTTGCCACTTTTACTGCCGAGCCGGGCTCTGGTCTCTACACACTTCACACTGGCCCTCGTGGGCAGCACCAGCAGCAGCAGCAGCAGCAACAGCAGCGGCAGCAGCAGCAGCACCGACTCCTGCCCCCGGCCCCGGTTACTTCCCCCAGTTTGGTCCCTGCGTCTCACCAGGTTGATGCGTCCCCCCAGGTAGCTGCGTCTTGTCAGGTTCCCGTGTCTGGTCCTAGTTGCTGCGTCGTGCTCTTGCCGGTCGTTTGCACACCCCATTTGTGGCACCACCGGATGGGGCACCCGTCCCTCCCTCGTCTGCGTGCTATGTCTCGTCAGCGTCTTGTCTTAGGCCTCCCATGTGTCTTGCCGTCGCTGCCGCCTTCGCTTGCACCGCCGTGCGGTCCCTGCATCGAGGGTCGGCAGCGCGCCACCCCTCACTCCTCCTCCCTTCGTCCGGCCACCGAGCCTTTTGAGACGCTCCACTTGGACGTCTGGGGCCCCGCCCCTCGCCTTGGCCCTGAGCGCGAGCGTTTCTTTTTGGTGGTCGTTGACGACTACTCCTGCTACACAACAGTGTCCCCCCTGGCAAAGAAGTCTGAGGTGACTTCTACACTGATCAAGTGGTTGCTTACCACTGAGGGCACTCGTGGTCGTCGTGTCAGTTGTCTTCACTCTGACCGTGGGGGTGAGTTTCGCTCCGGCATTCTCGCTGGATTCTGTCGCGAGCAGGGCATTCGTTAGTCCTGGACGCTTCCAGAGTCCCCACAACAGAATGGGGTTGCTGAGCACCATATAGGCTTGGTCATGGAGATCGCCCGCACCTCCTTGACTCACGCCCGTGCCCCCCATTTTCTGTGGCCCTACGCGGTTAGGTACGCCGTTCACCAGCTGAACCTCTGGCCACGCGTCTCTCGGCCAGAGGCTTCACCGACCAGTTTTTGGACCGGGTCCCTTGGTGTTGCGTCGAGGTTTCGTGTCTGGAGTTGCTTGGCTCTTGTCCGCGACTCTTCCGCGGACAAGCTCTCGCCTTGCACCGTTCCCTGTGTCTTCCTTGGTTTCCCTGAGGACTCCTCTAGCTTCACCTTTTACCACCCTCCCTCTCACCGGTTCTTGGACTCCTGTTTCGAGGAGTCCACCCCCTACTATGTAAACTACCCAAGTCGAGGTCTCCCGGTTCCTCCTCCCCCTCTCTTCTTGACTTCCGCTCCCCCTCCTGCTCCCCCGGTACAGCCTCCCCCCCCTGGTCCCGCCCCGTCAGGTGTGTCCCAGGCTACCCCTCCCCCCTGGGTTGCCCCTCGGGTGTAGCCTCCTTCCCCGCAGTCCTCCTCGCAACCTGGTGCAGACCCTGCGGAAGCCGGTGCTCGTAGAGAGGGCCCTACAGGTGCTAGCTCTAGGGGTTCTGGAGTTGGAGCTGAGCCTGTGGTTGCAGGAGACTCTTGTCTTCCGAGAGCTGGTGTTGATTCTGTTGACTTTGGGGGTGCTACGTCTGGAGGTGCGGGTGCACCCTCTTCGGGTCCTGGTGAGCCTGGTCGTGTTGCTGTTGGTAGTGCTGACTCTAGGGGTGGTGCGCCAGGTGCTTCGGAGGGCGGTCCCGGGGCTGCCGCAGCCCCCGACACTACTCCTCCCCCCCACCCCTACCCAACCCGGCACCAGGCTAGTGTTCACCGTGCCCGTGAGGAGCAGCTGGAGTTGGAGAGAGAGGAGAGAGCGTTGCAGCGGCTGGAGGAGCAGCAGCAGCAGTAGCAGGAGCAGCTGCAGCAGCTGCAGCTGGAGCCACCGCAGCAGCAGGAGGCGCAGTATCTGGAGCCACTGCAGCAGCAGGAGGAGCAGCAGCAGCCGCCGCAGCAGCAGTAACAGCCGCCGCCGCCGCCGCCGCTGCCGCAGCAGCAGCCGCCGCCGCTGCCGCCGCCGCAGCAGCAGCAGCCGCCGTCTCCTCCTCCTGTCTCCGGTCTTCAGGCCCACGGTCTCCCCTCCCGCTCTCCTTCCTCCTCCCCCTCTCCTCCCGTCTTGGGTCCTCTGCTTCCTCCTCCTGACCCCTCCCCGGCTGTTTTCCCTCGTTCTCAGCCTCCGTTGTCCCCTCCTCCTTAGACTTGGGCCTCTCGTCGCTCCCCTCGTGCTCGTCCCTCGTCTCATGTTCTCGTTACTGACCTTCGTATTGCCCTCTTTCGTTCTAGTCCGCCTCGTTCGTCTCCGTCTCTCCTTCCGTCTCCTCGTGAGTCGGCCTTCATTGTTTCTCTCTCTACTCCTGTCAATAACTACTACCGCACGTACCATCTTGTTCTCTCTCGTGTTCTCGCCTCTCTTGTTACCGACCCTCGTGCCTCTGTCTCCTCTGTCTCCGCCCTTACTACCGCAGTCACTTGTCAGAATATATTTGCTGTCTAGCCTGCAGTGGGGTACTCTGTAATGAGTACAACCCAATTTAGGGCAATGTACTTGTATCCCAACTCTTGCTAGTCACTTTCTTTTCCCTTCCAATTTCTCAACTCTCACCTAACCCACTCGAACTTACCTATCTCCTAGTGTGGGCCTAGGCTACTAAGCCTAGGCCCCACACCTAATATTTTCACATCACTGAGTTTGCCTCCACTCGCCGCCTTACGCCGCCGGTCTTGTGGCTGCTCCTCCTACCAGTCCTCTGGCCGTCGGGGGTGAGTCTGCCCTTAACTGTGACGCCCTAGAGGATAGGCAGTTTGAGCTAGAGTTCCTGGTAGCCGCTTCCCCACATCTCTGTGCCATGCTGCTCGCCCCTAAGAGAGACACCGACGCCCTTGACATACAGACTCCTCGCACTTACGCGGAGGTAGTGTCAGGGCCTTGGGCCTCTTAGTGGAGAGCTGCCATGGACGTAGAGATGGCCTCCAACAGATCCACAGGCACCTACGTCGGCGAGGTTCCCCCCCCTGGGACGAACGTAGTTGATGGCATGTGGATCTACAGGGTGAAGCGGCCACCGGGATCTCCTCCGGTATTCAAGGCACGCTACGTGGCTAGAGGTTTCAGTCAGCGCGAGGAAGTTGATTTCTTTCAGACCTTCGCGCCTACCCCGAAGATGACCACTCTTCGGGTGTTACTGCATGTAGCAGCACAGAGAGACTACGTAAGAGTACGACAGCGTATGCTGGCTTTGCTAGCTCGCCTGAACATTATGACGCTAAATCTAGCTTGGGTTTTATTTATCATGCATAGATATGCTTGATTTCCTAGGTTAGGTGCATTCCTATATTTTATTATAGTTATAGCACCGAACCAGGTTATGTGCACCGAACTCAAGCCTTTTCGGTTGCCATCGAATTGCTTTCTACTGAGTTCGGGGAGGTTCTGTTCGGGACGCTTCGCGACCCTCAGAACATTCGCGTAACACCTGGGTAACTGGCCTTGTGTCGAGACTATAAATAGCCTCGTGTTGTACCCAGGTGAATCATTCAATTCAAACTCTCTTTTCTGAGCTCAATCCTAGATCCTCACAGACTACGAGTTACACTCTCTCGACTTCTCCACTGGTTTCCTCCAGGGTAGATTCCACGAGGAGGTCTGGCTGCGTCGTCCCTCTGCCTTCACTGACACTTTCCCTCCTCGGACCCAGTGGAGGCTGAGGCGACCTGACTACGGTCTTCGTCAGGCTCCTCGTGAGTGGCACGACACTCTTCGTTCTACCCTCTCTGACCTTGGGTTCCAGCCATCTTCTGCCAACCCGTCGCTGTTTGTTCGTCGTGGCTCCACACTGTTCTTTGTTCTGGTCTGCGTCGACGACCTGGTTTTCACCACTGCTGACAGGGTTGCCTTGGCAGACGTGAAGTTTGAACTGCAGAAGGGACACACGTGCACTGACCTTGGTGAGCTGCACCACTACCTTGGCCTGCAGATCACTAGGGACAGAGCTGCTCGCACCATTACACTCTCACAGTCACACATGGTGCAGCAGGTCCTTCAACGGTTCGAGCTTCAGCACTCCACAATACAGCAGACACCTCTTGCTGTTGACCACAGACTTACTGGACCCTTTCCTGATGAGCCGTTTCAGTCTAGTGGTCCCTACGCAGAGCTGGTGGGCTGCCTCATGTACCTGATGAATTGCACTCGCCCGGACCTCGCCTTCCCTCTCAGCATCCTTGCTCGCTTTGTTGCGCCAGAGAGACACCGTCCTATTCACTGGACGGGAGCCGTGAGGGTGGCGAAGTACCTAGCGACGACATCAGGCGTGGGGCTAGTTCTTGGAGGGTAGCAGCCTGTCGTACTTACTAGTCACTGTGACTCTTCTTACGCTGACGACGCTGAGACTCATAGGTCTACTCAGGGTTACTGTTTCAGCTTGGGTTCAGGAGCTATTTCGTGGCGGTCCACGCGCTCCTCTTCGGTCTCGACCTCTACAGCTAAGGCTGAGATCTACGCTGGTGCCATGGTGGCACAGGAGCTGCGTTGGTTGACCTTCTTGCTCATCGACCTTGGTGAGCGGCCGAGCTCTGCACCGACCTTGTTCACTGACAACAAGGTGTCGATTCTCCTTTGTCGAGAGCCGCGACTCGAGAGCAGAGTGAAGCACATTAACGTCAAGTACTTTCTTTTGCGAGAGTTGCAGAGACGTGGACATGCTCGCTTCGAGTTTGTGGAGTCCGAGGCCAACACTGCAGACATCTTCACCAAGGCGCTTCCGCCTAGTGACCACCAGAGGTGTTGTGTGCAGTTAGGCCTTGTTGACACAGTTTCTAGTCGTATATAGGCTTGAGTCTACTATTTGCTTTGCTTATACTCTTGCTATATACACTTGTGAACTTTCGAACTGGCCTTGTGGCCCCTGTTGCTTGTGCTCAGAGTGTGTGGTGACGTTGTGATCCACCCGGAGCTTTGTTTCTTTGTGACTGGTCTTGTGACCGTACACTTTTGGGTTTGCTTGATACCCCTCACTTAGGCTATGGGGGTGTGTCAAATGTTGTAGCCTGTAGTGAGGTTTGTCGTAGGGGGTACAGATGTTAGGGTTTGTTATATGTACCCCAACCCACATCAATGAACCACCACTTTCATTCTTGACAACCTGTTAGGGGGATCCGTGGTAACTGTTACCATGGCTCTGCCCTACCTACACAGTTACGACTGACGATGCTTTTATTGCATTCTTGTAATGTTTTAAAGCAAAATAAGAGGCGACGAAATCGTCTTAGGGTTGCGGAGCTTTTTATTCTTTTGCATAAAACATATAATTCATATCGAGATGTCAACTTACACATCATGTACAACAAAAGTAACTTTGTTGTTAACAAAAGCTTTTAGATGATCGTCAAGATCATCTTCTGCTGGGAGTCGTTCCAAAGACTTTCACATCTGCGGGAGATTCAGGAACCGTTGTGCTAAGTCGTCTGAATCGAGAATCGACAGCGGAAATTAATGCTTGGAAAACGCCGCGTAAAGTCAACCCTTCTTAGGGTTTCTGTTTTTCTTTCTCGCTGCTGTCCTCTGCTCCTACTCCCCATTGTTCCCTCTTCTGCTTCAACTACCGCTCCTGCTAACTACCCTACCTTCAACCCAACCTTCTCTATTTTAACTACTGAGGTGAGCTTAGAAGACTATTAACTATCCCTCTCGATCTACGATCGCTTCTTTGTTATTCCCTCTGCTCATTTTTCTTGTCAAATCAATTTATCTAGTATTCTTCCTTGTGCTTCTCCTCCCTTTCTACCTACGGTACGTTCCTTCTTCTTTTGATCCTATGTGTTCTTGATGTCGTCGTTTTTCCTACGTTCCTTTATTTCTTTCGCTTCCTTTCTCTTTCCTCTTCTTGCGTTGTTTTCCTACATGCCTTACCTTTTCTCTGTCAGAATGTTATTATCTAGCCTATTGTGGGGTGCTGTATAGCGAGTACAACTTAGTTAGGGTTTGCTATATGTATCCCAATTGCTGCTAGTGAAACCCCTCATTCCGTCATTCTTGTTTTGCATTCCTCGTTCTTTCACATGCTATCAGAGCAGGTCGACCCCCTTGGGTCGATCCTGTGGGTGGGCCCGCCACCTAACTGCTTCCGCTGCTGTTCTATTTCTCGCGCGCCTCGGGCGCGCGACATCTTCTTCCTGCCGTGCGCTCGGGGCGCGCGGCGGTTTTCTGTTGTGGGGACCCGCGCACAACCCCCGCCCGTCTCGTCGTGTCGGCCTGCAGGCCGCGCGCGCCCCCCCTCCCGTCCATCGCGGCGCCCTGGGGAGTAGCGTGCGGCCCCCTCCTGTCTGTCGCGGCGCTCTTGGGAGCTGCGTGCGCCCCCCGCCCGTCCGTCGCGGCGCCCTGAGGAGTCGCGCGCGGCCCCCGCCCGTCCGTCGCGG